CCCGCGGAATAAGGCAGATAAAAATGGGCGAAGTGTTTAAATGCACAGGAACATTTATATTAGGCTGTGAAATAACGAAAATAAAAATGATTAGTATACATACTTTCTAACTTAAAGGAATGCAATGGCTACAAAAAAATGAACATTTACCTTAGCTAGTCGTTCTTGCTCTTCGGCCTGGATTTCAGCTAATGATTTTACTTTTCTAGGTTCCATTGGTTTATTAGCCCAATTCAAATGTAGGCCACTAACACTCTTTTCGTGCTCTTTCTGCTGCATCATCTCCTGCTCCTATAGTAAAAGGCGCAATATTATTCGCTTTGAAGGGAAAAGCCATCATAAAAGCATCCAGTGATAAATAATGGAAATAATTACGTAACTGTTGAATTTTATTATATTGGGCGTTTAAATTAGCACCCAACTACTTTAAAATTTCCTCCTGATTTTATGTCTTGAGCTACCCATGTGCCACTATCTTCATTCATACAGCTAGACTGTTGACAGCAAACTGTCGGCGACCCCTCTTTGAGTACTGTTGGCACAGTCAACATCTTTCTTGGCAGAATTCGACAGTTACTGACTATTGCTCGAACAAATTTAGTTTTGTCTCTAATTGTCTAACAGTCATGGGATATCGCCTTTGAGTTAAAATTATTTCGCTCGATTTTGCATCTCTGCATTTTAGAAAATCTTAACAAAAGTAACTTTTAAAGTTGGACGAATACATCAGCAGAGTAGATCTGACGACATCGTGAAAATGCTCTACCTGTAGCCTCTGCATCTGTATAAAGCATCCTGCGTCCTTTTCCCTCCCGCTCACCTTCTGAATCTCTGCAAGGCTCATCCCAGCCGTGGAGTTGGACTGCGACCAAGGAGCAGTCTTCGCAACTCTCGCCTGTTGGTCCCTCTTCGTTTCCAATTCCCTCGCCCTCTCCCCCTTTCTCTTCTTCCTCGGAACGTTGTTGTTCTTCAGCCTTCCTCTGCTCCTCTATCTTTCTGCGGTTCTCTTCTTCAGCCTTGCGCTGCTCTTTTAATCGACGTTTCTCCTCCAGTTCACGCTGACGTTTCTGCTTCTCTTCCGCTTCTCGCTTCACTTTTTCCAGTTCTTTTTTAATGCGTTCTTCGTCGTCTTTGCGTTTCTTTTCTTCCAATGCCTTTTTTTTCCGCTTCCTGAAACCAATATATTTTGTAAAAAAATGAATTTTATAGTTGGACTGTCACAAGGTACTTGTAGAGTTTAGGAATAAACTCGTATTTATGTTTGTATGTTTTTTATCAACTAGTGAGTCGACCTCGACTCGACTAGAAATAAACCAGTTATGTAGTAAATGGTGTTATCACACTGGTGACGAGGACGAAATTAAATACTTTACGGACATAGTTATGCGTTTTTTTGCGTTTGCAGTTGTACGCCAATTGAACAATAAAATGTCGATCGGACGGATGTCGGAGTTTAAGTTAAGTGGGTCGAACTGGAATTCCTGCAATTCCAGATTTGAGCAGTAATTCATTGCTATAAAATCGAAGAAGAATTGAAAGTAAATACACTGTTGACTGTCGTCGGAGAAGAAATGTTCTAGCTGATGATCGATTTGTGTAACTCGGACAAACCGGAGGAAATTACCTACGAGGCGTTTGGTCAGGTTAGTTGAAAATCATCTCTACCCAGGGCCGTCCAAAGAGCAGAAAGGTTTAAATTAAGATTACGCAAGCAACAGCCCGGCGAATCTTTAGCGCAATATTTAGCTGCACTTAAAAAATAGCTAAAACATGCCAGTTTGGAGACAATTTGGAAGACCAATTAACTGATCAATTCCTATATGGCCTCCGAAGTGACAGCATTCGTCAACAACTCTTCACCGAGAAAGATTTAAATTACATTCAAGCAGTAAGGATTGTCTTAAATATGGAGGCCGCAGAGAAAAATTCTCTCATGGTGGAGGAAGCAGTCTTCATCGATGGCGGCGATGGTAGCAGTTCACAAAGTTTCGAGCAGAGCGCAGCGTAAAAATGGGCCACGTTCCAGCTGTTGCCGCCATTGTGGGAAATCAAACCACGAAGATATCCGATGTTTCTTTCGGACATCGAAATGTCACAGGTGCGGTATAGTGGGGCATGTTAGTGCCGTGTGCGCGAAATTCAACCGTAGTTTCGGTAAACATAGAAATGAAAATGCAAAACAAGGAGTCACGCACCATCTTGATAGAGATGAAACATCTGTTAGCAACGTAAGTGAGGTAGCTGATTTAACTATCTCAAATATATTTTCAAAATTGGAAATAACCACCAGAAACCGCTAAAAATTCACTTAAATATCAATGATGTTGTTATGTATATGGAAATTGACACAGGATCAGCCTATTCTGTCATATCTGAGGCAGAATATTATAAAAACTTTTCATTTGGGAACCGATCTTAAATTTAAATCTTATTCTGGGAATGTGCTAGAAATTTTAAGATTATCAAGGTAAATGTAAGGATTGAACATAGTTCCAATCCTGAAAATTTGCAATTGTATTTACTGAAAGGCCTCTACAAAATCCAACCCGTACGTCCTCGAGTTCATTCTGCGGGGCGGACTTGGGCGCTGAACCGTGTGCGACCGTGTAGGGGGGGCAACGGGGTGCCGGTCTTGCGCTGGACCGCCTCGATCAGTTTTTGAGGAGACCCGCCGGAAAGCCGGTAGCGCGGCCAAACGTATGATTCGTTGAGCCACAGGTGTCTCGGATGTATATCTGGGACGCCTGCAGCTCAACGGTCATTATGGGCAATGGTACCTTACCCAACCCAAGGTGTTAAGCGATTCCGTGCCGAGGGGTGCGTGGCGGTGGGGATGCACCGTATTAAACGGAGCCTCTGGGACACCGGGCGACCTCCCAGAGTATCCAGCCTTGCGTCCGTGTAGGGGCACCGCGGACGTCGACCACCATTTCCCCTATACTCGTGGGAACAATATGGAACACGAAGAAAAAAAAATAACAAAACCCCGAACATCCGGGTGGCCCTCACCAGGGGACTCCGAACATCCAGGCGGCCCCTCACCAGGGGACCCTGATCGGACTCTGACAGAGGAATCTGTCAGAAACTTAGCGAGAGAGCTAGCGGAAAGGGTTGGGCTCTCTAAAAATTAAGAAGTCTCGGCCAGATTCCGAAAGGAGAAGGGGGGAGAAGTGGAGAGACGCGCAGATGACGGAGGGCTCGGAAGGTCGGGGCACCACTTCTGGGGCTCCGGCTGGACGGACCCAACCGCCATCTGGGCTAGACGGTGCGCAATCCGGTGTGTCAGCCGAGGCCCTAAAGCGGCCTGGCGACGGGAAGCGGCAGAGGTCTGCCGGTGGGACACCGGAGGGTGCATCCTCGCGGAAGAAGCCTCGTACTGCGAGGCATGCGCACATTAGCTTTGCGCGTACGTCCCAAGCGTGTCCAACGGTTATCCTAGGACTCAATTGACTGAAGTACAGGTACAGCAGGTCCAGGAGGCGGTCAGTGTGCTGATAGATGGGCTCCCAGATGAGGCGGACCTTCCCAGGTACAATGACTGCTAACTCTCTCGAGGGGCAGCCATCTTTGCGAGGACGAATCCTCTAGGGCATGGTTGGAGGCCCACGTGGGGGATCTGCGGCCGTGGGAAGGCGCAAGGCTCATTACGATGAGCTTTGGAGACCTTCCTATATACCACCGCGTGATGGCCTGGTTCCCGGGTCCCAACCTGGGAAACGAGGACATCATGAGGAGACTCAGGAGGCACAATCCTGGGACTTTTCCCAGCGCGTGGAGGCTACTTGAGAGGAAGGAGGATCACAAAGGTGTCCGACTTGTCTTCTCAGTTGATTCCATAAGCTGGAAGATCATTGAAGGTAACGGCAACAGGCTGTGTTGCGGTGGAAGTTCGGGGGTGTTTACACTCCTGAGCAAGAAGAAAAACATTGGGGCGACACCTGCTGGAACTGGCCTGGCTCCAAACCAGGATTCGGACCAGCCCAGACCGACGGGAGCTGTGGCGGTAGACCAGGCTCCTTCACAGGGGATGGGTCGGCCGGGGCAGCTCTCGCTGGAACCACCGGAGGTTACGGACGTGGAGGCGGCGGGTCCCAGCGGGATATCCGCAGTAAACATCGCGGGGGCCCTACGATGGATCTGGCCCCAGAGGGCAATGATAGCGACTCGGACGAGGACGAAATCCTGAACCGAGTCCGAGAACTCCTCCGTGGAAGCGGAGATGAAGGGGGCTGCGACAGTGAAGACGGCGACGGCGCCCGAATAGGGGACATACCGTCATTCGGGAAGGTGTAGGAGGACCTCTCAACACCCATGGTAAGTCTTAATTTCCTCGTGATTGGATGCGACAGCAATGCCCATCACGTTATGTGGGGCAGCTCGAACACCAACAAATGGGGCGAAGACCTCATGGAGTTCCTAGGGGCATCGAACCTTGAGGTTCTGAATGTCGGTAACATGCCCACTTTCAGCAATAGTGTAAGAGAAGCGGTTATCGACGTAACACACGCTCAACTTAGCTCAGGACATTAGGGACTGGAAATTGTCTCTCACACCCTCTCTATCGGATCACAGGTATATACTGTTTAAGCCTGATGGAGAGATTCCAGATAAATATGCTCGGAATCCTAGGCATACTAGATGGGGGTCCTTTAGGGCAGACATTGACAGTAAGCTTGGAGCGGTCCCATACAGACTTTGTAGGGGCTCTGACATAGAAGCAGCTGTCGAGTCTCTGAGCAGGGACTTGACGGCTTCATATGAGGAAAGCTGCCCGTTACGCAAAGTTCAAGGTAAGGGCAAGGCAACCTTCTGGACCAAAGAATTAGAGGATAGAAAACGAGCGGTGCACAAACTTCTTAGCAGAGTTAAGCACAGGAGAAGTTCTCCTCTATGGTAAAACTACAAAAAGGCATTGCAGGAGTACACAAAGGAGATTACAAAAGCCTCCAGAGAATCCTGGAGGTACTTCTGTCAGTCCATAAACGACATTCCTGCTACTGCGAGAATACACAGAGTCCTATGCAAAGAGATTAAAGCAAGATTGGGATCTCTGCATGATCCCTCAGGGGGGAATACTACTTCTGAGGAAGGTCCACTGCGGCTTCTGACGGACAGGCACTTTCCCGGTTCCACAGTAGCGCGATCAATCATAGAGTACATGCAGTTGCGCAGGCCCTCAGGGGAGGAGTGGCGCACGGCTAGGGAGATTGTCACCTTCGAAAGGACGGTATGAGCAGTAGACTCGTTTGCTCCATACAAAAGTCCAGGTCTGGACGGCGTATTTCCGGCCGTGTTACAGCAGGGACAGAGTTCGGTTGTTCCTCACCTGTTGAATGTGTTTCGAGCATGTGTGGCCACGGGCTTCAAACCTAGAAGCTGGCGGCAGGCTAAAGTGGTATTCATTTCTAAACCGGGCAGAGCTAGATATACTGGCCCGAAGGATTTTCGTCCGATTACTCTTTCATCTTTTGTGCTTAAGACACTGGAAAGGATAATTGATAGATACTTAAGGGATGGCCCGCTGGAAAGGTGTGTCATTCATGCAAATCAGTTTGCATAGCAAGCTGGAAAATCGACGGTAGGCACTCGTGGCCTTTTTGGACATTGAAGGTGCATTTAATTGCACCACAACCGACTCTATCAGACATGCCTTGATTAGACACGGGGTTGGATCAATCCTAATAGACTCAGTCCTATCTACTCTGCAGGGTCGGGTAGCAACAGCTATGCTGAATGACGTAAGCTGCAGCATGAGCGTAGCTAGAGGCTGCCCTCAGGGCGGAGTTCTGTCATCCCTACTGTGGTGTATCGTGGTGAACGAACCCCTCGTTAGGCTCAGCAGTATGGTTGTCTACGTGCAAGCCTATGCTGATGACATAAGCAAAGTAGTTAGGGGGGGCATTTTTGTAGAATAGTCTCGGAAATTATGCAGGGCTCTCTGCGCTCTGTGGAATCGTGGTGTAGGGAAGTCGATCTTTCTG